CTTTTTTTTCCACCGAAAAGATTGCTTTAAAAGAAATTAGAGTTAGTGATTATTTATTTTATTTAAATAAAATTTTAAAAATATAACTTACGATGAACGAATGCCACCAAGAACGTTTGATGTTGTCCGGTACCACCGTCCAACAGTAGTAGAGTTGAGGAAAATTTGACGTTATTATTGCTGTAAATTTTTTCCTCAAATCTTTATCGTTAACCCCGAACCTAATTATAATAACAATTTATTAATATTAACTAATAATATAATTTAAAATAAATATTGAAATAATTTAATTTATAAATTAATTACCATAACGCCCCGTCTAGTTCGGGATCGATTAGCGGCACCTCGCGAGTGTCGAAGGAATTTAAAATTTCCTCTACCTCCTCCAGAGTTATATCAATCTCTGGGAAAAGTGGAGGAGCGTCCACCGGTTCCGGAAGACGAGAAGGTGGTGGTGGCGGCGGTGGCGGTGCTCCTGAAGAACCCGCTAACAATCCTCCGGAACCAGAAAATCGCCTACGAAACTGTAAAAAAACAATAGTTAGTTATTAATACAAAACATAAATATTAAGAATTGAACAAGAATTGAAAACCAATTACCATTATGTGATTTTTGTTTTGGTTGAATTTTTTTTTTTGTTTGATTTTTTTTTATGAGTTGTTGGAATGAATGGGAAGAATGGGGCCGCTCGCCCTTATATAATCGAAATTTCCAACGGATTTCCAACGGGCATCCGTTGGAATTTTCTGGGCGCATTTAATGTTGCGTGATAAATTCCAACGGATGCCCGTTATAATCTTCGTTTCCAACGGGCATCCGTTGGAAAAGAAGAATGTAACGGGAATCCGTTGGAATTTATCAGCGGATTCAATGTTTCAACTATTACAACGGGTGTCCGTTGGAACTTTCCAACGGATGCCCGTTGTAATTCTCGTGTCGATTCGATTGGTGCGCTTCGATTCCAACGGACGTCCGTTGGAATATATGTGATCATTCGAATTCTGCGATTCGATTCCAACGGATGCCCGTTGGAATTTAACAATTTTTTAAAAAAAATAAAAAAAAATATGATAGATTTTTCAAAATACAAATACATATGAAAACAATAAAAACAAATAAGTCTATATAGAATCTTCATCACTTTCATCATCCGGAGTTGTATCATGGTCCGAAACGAATTCGTCTATATCGTCTTGTACGTGTAACGAATCATCAAGTAACTCGTCGTCTATGTCAGGAAGTGCAAGTGTCTCGTCGTAATCATCATCTAGTCGGATGGGAAGAACCGGATCTTCGAGTTGCTCTTGCATTGGTTCATCGAGATCTTGTGTTGTTGACGACGAATCCACGATTAATCTTCGTGGGTTAATCTTCAAAACAGCTGACCATTGATCTTCCCGTCGCCGTTTCACCGATGTCGTAGAATGTTTCGGATATGGAATGAAGCATACATGGTCTGCCTGATCTGAAAGTATAAAAGGATCGTACTTTGCATATGAACGTTTCGGGTTTATGTCAATACCTCCCCATCAATTTTTCCGTGAGCCGCGTCCCGACGTTGTATCAAACCAATCACATATGAATATGATTGTTTTCAACCCGACTAATCCTGGATACTGGAGTTGGAAAATCTGCCGAAGAACCCCAAAGAAATCAGGATCTTCCGATGACCCGCTTTTTATACAAACTCCGTAATTGAACGTGGATTTATGTTTTCCATGATCGTAAGTGTGAAACGTGTATCCTCGGGTGAACATTATCGGCCAGCAAATGACTTTTCTTCCAGGTCCATGTGATATATCTCTGATCCATGCCGGAATTCTATCACTACATGACTGAATCTGCGCATAAAAATTAAATTAATACACAAATACATACACATACATATATATATAGCTAGAATACTTACGTAGTCTCGTAGCCAAGATGCATAATGTTGTTCCTTCATTCCTTCAAGTTCCTCCCCACTTAGATTAGGATATGTTGCAAAAACATCCTCGTCAAAAAGTCTTAAAAACATGTTGTTAGCAAATATATAAATATGTAATTAATTAATTTCTAATCACATCTAAGATTAAAAAATGTGTACCTTTCGTATGGCTGAAGTTCTTCACAATTCAACAGTATATATGTGGCGATGTGATTGTACTCTTGTACTGTTAACCAATATTCTTCAGATTTGCCTATGAGACGTCCAATAGGCTGAAAACTTTCGGGAATAAGTCCGAAACATGAATCATAGTGGTAGAGATAACTTCTATCGTCTTCGTTGATAGCCCTCCTTGTCTTCGTCTGAATATGAGATTCAAAATAGAAAGAACTGAAGTAGGAGATCTCCTCTAACAAATACTGTTTGACGATAGATCCTTCCACTGCTGCTTTGTTTTTAGCCTTCTTCTTCAGATGGAAAAAAAATCGCTCAAATGGATACATCCATCTAAACTGTACTGGACCACCGTATATCGCCTCATCTGGTAAATGAATAGGTAAATGTTCCATCACATCAAAAAATGAAGGTGGAAATACATTTTCCAATGTGCAAAGTATCTCAGGAATGCTGTCTTTCAAAACCTCTACATTACTTCTTCTCAGAGATCTTGCACATATATCTCGAAAAAATGTGCTGATACCGCATAACGCTCCGTGGACACTCGGTTTCAATAGCTCCGCAAATGCAATAGGAATAAGTATTTGCATGAATACATGGCAATCATGACTCTTCATTCCCATAAGTTTTAATGAATCAGTATCAACACATCGCGCCAATTTGGATGCATATCCATCAGGGAATTTAACCTCTTCTTTTAACCATTTAAACAACACCGTTTTACCTGGTTTTGTGAGTCTGAATATCGGCACAGGTGCGTGACCATCACGTGTCAACTCCAACTCTTTTCTCTTGCATATATCTTTCAAGTCCTTCCTCGAGTTGATGTTATCTTTACTTCTCCCTGGCACATTCAGAACGGTGTTGATGATGTTATCAAAAAAGTTTTTCTCTATATGCATAACATCCAGATTGTGTCGAAGCGTTAGCGAACTCCAGTAAGGCAAATCCCAAAAAATACTACGCTTATACCAGTTATGCCAATCACCAAATCCTTTGCACTTCTTATGCCCAAAATTTCCTCCACAATGCACAGAAGCTTCCAAATCATCCAAATATCCACTATTTATTCGCTCAGAATAAATTTGCTCTCCGGTTTGCATAACAGGACCTTCCTCAGTAACGATTTTACCTTTGGTAAAAAGCGTACGATTTTGTCTGAACGGATGATTCCTTCGAAGAAATCTGCGATGACAGTCAAACCAGCACGACTTTCTCCCATGTCTCAACTGAAACGCTTCTGTTTCCTCCATGCAAAACGGACATGCAAGTCTTCCATGTGTGCTCCATCCCGATAGCATGCCATACGCCGGAAAATCACTGATCGTCCAAAGAAAAATATTCCAACGGATATCCGTTGGAAAGTGTAACGGTAACGAACTTTTCAACGGATTTCCAACGGATATCCGTTGGAAAGTTTCTCTATTTAAAGCACTCGGCCATAGTTCGCCCAAACCACTCTCTAAATCATTCTTATACTATTCTTTTACCAAAAATTCTCCTAAAAATGACATCTTCAACAAATCCGAATATTCGTTCGTCCCGACAGTGGATATACGAAAGAGTTGATTCGATTACAAAAGAGGTAACGCAAGAATTCATTAACGGTTTGGAACAGTTTATGAATTTTGCTTCTATGCAGCCGTTGTGTCAAGAACGTGGAAAAATGCTATGTCCATGTACAAGTTGTCGCAATTTTTCATAAGGCATTCCCAAATTCTTCAACATAGCCTTCGTATCATAATACGATTCTGGAGCTTCGTTATTTTCAGGTAAATATTCACGCAACGTTTGACAAAATGAATCCATGCAATTTTCGGTGACATTGTAATCCGTTTTCATACTCATCAATCTTGATGCAAGAGATAAACGTGACTGACCTTCTTTACATCCTTCATAGATAGGATGATTTGTCATATCCAACATGTCGAAAAACCGTTTTGTTTCGACGTTTGGCTCCTCCTGATCTTGTGATGAGTTTTGCTCAACCAATGCCCCAGGAAAAGCATCTGTCACCATTTCAACATAAGGATTTCTTACATCTTCATCTGCATCATATCTCTGCTCGGCCGAGACATGTCCCGTTGTGATTGTCCGAACTTCTTCTCCATGAAATCGCCAAATATAATAATCTTCGACAAATCCCCTTCGAAATAGATGTTTACAAACATCTTCTGGACTGCGATATTTAAAATTGCGACAACTTGTACATGGACATAGCATTTTTCCACGTTCTTGACACAACGGCTGCATAGAAGCAAAATTCATAAACTGTTCCAAACCGTTAATGAATTCTTGCGTTACCTCTTTTGTAATCGAATCAACTCTTTCGTATATCCACTGTCGGGACGAACGAATATTCGGATTTGTTGAAGATGTCATTTTTAGGAGAATTTTTGGTAAAAGAATAGTATAAGAGTGATTTAGAGAGTGGTTTGGGCGAACTATGGCCGGATGTTTTAAATAGAGAAACGTTCCAACGGATATCCGTTGGAAATCCGTTGCAAATTTCGTTACCGTTAGACTTTCCAACGGATCTCCGTTGGAATATTTTGAACGTTATAACGTTCGACTATTTCCAACGGATATCCGTTGGAATTATTGCCGCGTTTCATAACGTTCGGATAATTTCAACGGCTTGCCGTTGGAATTTGTCGAACGTTACTTCCAATGGAATATACGTGGAAATTTTCCAACTCAAATATCCGTTGATATGCCGTTGGA